TCTATAAAACTAGTTCTCCGCGTACACTAAATGTATGACAAACGTAATGAAGCACATACGTCCATACAAACACAATAATACTAATATCAAGATCTACAAATTATTACTGTTCTGTTAAATAAGTAACTTGAAAGGTTTAAAAAATTAAACATGAACAAACTTGATTGTAGGAAATGTAATTTAAACTGATATAAAATAGAACAAATAACCAGCAATCAATAGGACTTCTTATTCTCACTATTTCATTTTCTTCAGCTGTTTAACTAGATTATATAGACCTCCATATCTCAGGAGAAGCACAGAATACAGTGGACGCCTCAAAAAGAATTCAGGCATTTCTTGCATTATACTTTAATATGACGTACTTTAGATATTTATTGTTTACTGAATGGAACTTTCTTTGTCGTCGACTTTTCTTTCACTATGTCATCAATTTTTCAGATGTTTATCTACTTAATTTTGCATACGTGTATATGATCGGAAGCGTATTGCTAATTACTACATAACTAGTTTTATGTAGACTAATTACAATGTAAACAAGTATAGATATTGAAAGGACAAATGGTCGCGCAATATTGCAAATTGAATGAAATTATGAATGTAAACTATTAGATGCCAACTTAGGAGTTTTAATATTTACCACTTCTTTTGAGACCTAAAGTTTCTGGGTACGATCCCTGTTGCAGTCGTGAATACGGAGTTCAGTAATAGGAAACAACAGTTGTCCATTACTCAATACTTTTCTACCTTAAGTCAGCCCTTATAAAATAAACGTTTACACTACTAATTAGTAGTGAGTTTAATTATATCAGTAAACCATTTTGTACTCAACTCAATTTGATCTGGCTTTAATATTTCAGCGCCGAAGAATTCGGTAGACTCCTGGATATTTATTCACCACAATTTGGTCATGACTCCCGAAAAGAAGAGATTTAACTTGTCTAAACAATATTTCTACTAAACACAATAGTGAATTTTTTAATAAACGGAATACACCCATTATGACATTAAATAAGAACGAAAGATTAGTTCAGCGAAGAGTTCTCCCCTCTTCGGCGAATTCATTTTCAAAACTGTACAATCGCAATTATATAGATACTTATTTTTACAGGGTGATAATAATACTGATAATAAACTTCTGTTATACATGGTGACAGTGAGGTTAAATAAACAAAGGCACAAAAAGCTTAATATCAGACCTCATTAAAAGTGTAAAAACTACAGAAACACAGCACAAATTTCCTAGCAAACCTGAGAGATATGTGTTTAATCATTCTTCAATACATTTAACAAATGTACAATTAAAAGGCTTATCTTTGTGAATAAAATTCTGTGACACAAATGAAACAATTAACAAAATCAACACACATCTTCAATTGGAAAACTTAATCAAACAAACAAATGGTCTTAGTCAAGTCTTTGATTGAGAATTCGAAAGTTTCAAATCTACTCTTCTCGATAGCTGCAACCAATGTATTAGCACAAAAGTAACAGGCAAAAGTCTTCTAACGAAAGAACATAAAAACCAGACAGAACTGCTTAGAAATAATAAAGACCTGATTATAACACTTTTAGATAAAGATGCTGGTTTATTGCTGCTTGATCGCCAAATTTATGTTGAAAAATTACAACTTTATTATCAGACGACACCAAATTCTCATAACCCATCAATGTGAAAAACAAGACTGAAATTATAGAAAAGCAACTGATTGATGTCTTTTGGAGAATGAAAAATGAGCATTCAATCAACGAACAGGTCTTTGAACACATAAAACCAACAGCATCAGTAATAACGCGATTATACGTTTGCCGAAATACACAAACCTGGCCTACCTCTTAGACCAATTCTTAATATGTCAGGATCCCCTTACCACTCTATAGCAAAGTGGCTGGCGAATCTCCTGAAACCTGTTAAAAAACTCATTTGTAAACATTACGTACGTGATACTTTTGAATTCATCGAGCACACAAAAGAGGTGAATGTAAGTGACAAAATTATGCTATCTCTGGATGTCGAATCATTATATACTAATGTTCCACTCACAGAGACCATTAATGTTATCTGCAAGTACATAGATAATAATGAGATAAACATTGGGATACCTGAGGTTTATTTGAAGGAATTATTACTACGTTGTACTTGCAATGTACAGTTCACATTCAACGATGTAATTCATAGACAGAAGGATGGTGTAGCAATGGGATCCCCACTTGGTCCATTACTGGCAGATTGCTTCATGGCCAGTTTAGAAAACAACCAACTCAAAAGAACTATAGAAAACCTCCACTTGTATAAAAGTTATGTGGATGATATCTTTATTATTTGTGACAACAAATGTAACTTAAGGGATCTCCTAGAGACATTTAATAATTGTCACTCATCAATGAAATTCACAATTGAAGTTGAAAGCAAACAAAATATTCACTTCCTTGATATGACAAGAAAACAAGATGGTACTTTAAAAAGGTCTATCTACAGGAAACCCATGTGGAATGGCCAACTATCAAATTTCCACAGTTGGGTTCTCATCAGCCGAAAAAGAAACTTAATAATAACTCTCGCCACAAGAATACGAAGAATCTGTAGCCCTGAGGTCGTAGAGGAAGAATTGAGCCTTTTAAAAGAGATACTTATCAAAAACGGATATCCTTCTATATTCATTGATAAGAACATGAAGCCGAAAATGCCAAAACCACAAACAACTACAGTAGAAAAGAAAATTTTATACATGAACATCGACTTCAAAGGTGATAGAGCTGCTTATATCTTAAAGAGGAGAATTTCGGATTCTTTAAAAAGAACATTCTTCGTAGCAACATTGCGAATATTATTCTCCAGCCGATCACTGTTCACCAATAATTTGAAAGATAAATTATCGCATCTGACCAACTCAATGTGCATCTACCAATTTACCTGCTCTTGTGGAGCTAGGTATATAGGTCGTTCGATGCGTACTTTATCCAAAAGAATTCAAGAACATTGTCCGGTGTGGCTAAGAAGAGGAGGCAGCGGGTCAATAAGAAGTTCTATAATCGAACACCTTGTGAACACAGGTCACTCAATCAAGACAGACTCTGCGTTCAAAGTCATCTACAAGGTAAGTAGAAACCTTCCTAAGACAATTAGACTGCAACTTCTTTGCATTGCCGAGGCAATAGCCATACATTTTGAAAAACCAGAATTATGTGTACAAAAGAGACTGGTACAACCTCTTCTTTTACCGTGGTCTTAATGTATTAAAAAAATTTTTTTTCTCTTTCTTCATACTCTTGTTCTTTTACAGCCACCTGCTTCACCTTCCGTCTTCCTTTCAAATCTTGTACCCTCAACAGGTTTGTTTTTATTTCAACGATCATTCCGATTACATTTCATCTCTGTTATTTTATCATGCTGAACCATCCTTACCCGATGAATACTTAAGCCATTAACTATCAAACTTTCCTTGTTTAAAATTTTTTTTCTAATACCTTTGTTTATTTAACCTCACTGTCACCATGTATAACAGAAGTTTATTATCAGTATTATTATCACCCTGTAAAAATAAGTATATATATTTGCGATTGTACAGTTTTGAAAATGAATTCGCTGAAAAGAGAACTCTTCGCTGAACTAATCTTTCTTTCTTATTGAATAAAAAAAACTCAACAAAGAGAGAATTCAATTTAGACATTTAGAAGAATATAAAAAGACAGAAATATTTACTTTCCACAAGTTATTCATTATGGCTCCACACTAATATATATATTTTTTTCAACAATGTTGGTAAACCGAATGAAAGATCCAGTAGACGGCCATATTCCAGATCAACAGGCTTGATCCTCTAAGGATCGATCGCGCACAGACCAAGTCGTAACATTACGGATCATCACTGAACAGTTAATTGAATGGAACTCGTCACTATACATCAACTTCGTTGACTGTGAGAAAGCGTTTAGCATTGTGGATAGAACCTTATGGAACCATCTCCGACACTATGGTATACCTGGGAAAATCGTCAACTTCAACCGAAATTCATGCGACGGACGACATTCGTGCACGGACGACGACTGACAGATCCAGTCCAAGTGACGATAGAAGTCAGACAAGGTTACCTAGTCTCAACTCTTTTCTTTCTTCTAGTGGTCGACTGCATTATGAAGACCTGAGTATCTCAGATGGAGCAGTGAATACAATAAACAGGTAGGATGCGACTAGACGATTTGGACTTAGTAGATAACCTAGCTCTTATACCTCATACAGAGCAACAATTTCAGGTGAAGAAAGCCACTCTACAAACAGCCTCTGCATCAATAGGTCACAACAAGCACAACCCAATCACACTTGGAAAAGCTATGGAAGAGGTGAAAACTTCCATTTACCTGAGCAGTATCAATGGTAAACAATGAGGATCGGATGCAGATTTGAAGTCATAGACTAGAAAAGTAAGTGCAGCATCCCTACAGTGAAGAACATTACTTACTTACTGACATCTGCTTCTCCAAATGGAGCATAGACTGCCGACCAGCGTTCTCTAACCGACTCTTTTCTGGGTCTTCCTTTCTATTTCTATCCAATTATTGTTCATTATTCTCATACCTGCCTACATTTCTAGGCGTATTGTGTTCTTTGGTCTTCCTCTTCTCCTCTGACCTTGAAGAACACTTTGTGCCGGGGATTGGAAACAAATATCTAAAGAATGAATAGCACCTCCCAAAAACTGGAAAGGGAAGCTTAGGAAAGATTTGGTTTTAGAATTCTGGTCGACGACCTATGCTACACAAAGCGTAACGGGCGTGTGTGTGTCTGTAAGTGTGTAAGTATATTTACTGACTAATGACATATTTCATTATTATGTGCTGTTTGCAATATTACCGTAAACCTTCTTGTCCGACTGAAAATAGGTGAGTATTTACCACAACAATCAGTGTTATGTCAATATATTGATTCCGTTAATTTCCCTTTGTCAAATTCTATTAAAACTCATGTCAACGTTTGCTCAATGGTAACAGATATAAGTTTTGAATTCACAATTTCCAAGTATATTTTAAATTGTTTTCAACTGGACCAAAACTACACATTGAGCCTAAATACATTTTACGGTATAAAAATTATATCTTACTATCCAATGAATGGTTGTTTAAATAATCTACGAGAATGTTGTATAAAATTGTATATTATTGGAGAGAAATAAACAATAAAAAAATCAGACATTCCACACATAACAATTCATGATACCGTAAACACAAGATTCAATGAGTTGAAAACGATCGTTTTATTTCGTTGTCTTGCCTCCATGTTTATTGAACCATTCATCACTTTTATCTGAGGCTATAGCTGATTGTAGTAGATTATCCGCTTGTGAATCCACTTGTGACAACTGTCTAAAAGCTTCATCTCCAACAAAACAGATTTCATGACCGTCCTAAATAAGAGGTAATTAAGTAAACAGAAAAGAAGATCCACAATAAATTCAGTACAAAGTCAAATAGCAGTGAAACTCTGGTATAATGGATGGTTTAAAACAACTTTTTTTTCTCTCTCACATATATTATGAGGATACGTTAACACGATGATAATAATACTAATCACGTTTTATCGGAACCAAGATTCACGACCCAAAATAGAGAACCAAATTAACACTAGATAACACTTTATCCAATACAATTACAAACAGTCACACTCAATGAGTTTGGAGTAGAAATCAATGACAAGAAGGTAGATCACATATTTAATAGTTCATAGGCTGTGGCTGCTCGTTCACTCTCTACGACCAATCATATCTTACTTCCAATACCACACATCACATTCATTTTATGATGGGCTAACGAAACTATCCTATCGCATGAGCTAAATTAGATAGATTGTGATTATAGTTAACATCATAATTATAGACGTCCAATTTGTTAAACAACTGAATAACAGAGTGATATTTCGAAAAATTGCACAATGAACAGTCGAATCAAGCACAGTAAATAAATAAAAAAAACATCAAATGAGTCGCAAGTCGTGTATACGAAAAAAACAATTTGTACAATAGTGTAGATTGCCGTGGAGCTCAAATTTCCTTTATTCTACTGTCAGTTTCTCCTTTCTATGGAGCGACTGTCATTACTTTTGTTATGATACCAGTGTAAGATAAACAATGGCTAAATACAGGCTAGACGAGTTCCCTCTATTTCATTCATTTTTTAGTATTTTCTACCTAATTATTTATTTAGTATGAGTTCATGTACTTGGCTTTGATCACAAATATAAGTGTGAGGGCTAGTGACACTGACCGTTCGACTAAACTGAAAAAGGTTCAACGGAGTTCGGACCCGCGACTACGTGGCTTAAAGTCGAACGATTTGATTACTTAATCACTGATCTACTTAGTCAACAACTGACATATTTCCTTTATCTGTGATTTTCTTGTAAAACATAAGTGTTGCTCACTCAAAATCAGGCAATTACCCACCATGCATAACGTATATGTAAGCCATTTTAATTGACTCAGGTTCGCATAAACATTGAGCGACCTAACTTTACAACTGGAATAACCTGTGGAGTTACGATCAAACTTGGTAAGCCAGTAGTTCTTAAATATCCCCAAATTATGTTGCAACTTGTTTTTTCAACATTTTATGTATTGTTGCTACTGAACTGTAAAGATAGTTCATGTTTATTTGTATCTTAGTAAACCCAACACATTAGAATTACAAAGTTACAGATTTCGAGTTAAACTTCCTTATCTTCTGTCTTTCGCCTAATGTTAACTCCATCCATTGGCCCATTAGATTGCATTTGAGTTTAATTAGAAAGTCGAGCTGATATACTCTCACCTTCTTATTAAGCAAACTGCTTTGTGTAAATCAAAAGCCTAAAATCCCAGTCTACACACTTGGCATCGGCACAGCTTTATCACGTACGATTTACATTTTCTCATTAATCCTGTTGAATTGTCCTCTAAAGACCTACTATAACGTACTAGCAGGTATAAAGAAGATATATTATTCCAGTTACCAATTAGGAAATTATGGAAATTGCCCAACAGCTTCAATTGTACAAAAGTGATACAAATCAACAAAAGAATAAACCTACTGGATCAGCTAAAATAATCACTTGTACAGTAGCTTTTCCTGGCGTATCCAAGCTGACTAGACGAGTAAGAATCGTTTCATTTTGTGAATCCATTGTTTGTTGTAAGATTGGTAACTATTGATAAATTATGAATTATGTTTAAAATAAGTGTTACTTGACTAGTTGGGCATGCAAAAGCTATACGACCAAATGCGCTGGCATGATCAATGGGCTTTTGAATGGAAATTAGTTTTAAACTACACTGATTTGGTGAATAACAAAACACCGCTTCATCTGAGCTAGATGACACAAGTGTCATACTAAGTTTATGAGACCAATAATCTGTATAATAATAGAAGAAACTTTTTAGGAAGGAGAATAGAAATACAGCATACCAATGGATCGTTTGAGATTTGAAGTAGATAAAGCCACCATTTGAACTGGATCCCCGTTACTATCACTGTTATGCACCCAAAATACATATCCACCAGGAGCTTCCACTTTTACTGAATTCGACTCTTTCAATGTGATAGGCCATGATCCACCGGTAATTCTTGAATATGCATCCTTATTATGAATAAGAATATACTGTTATCATTTAGGAGAGATGAAACAGACAAAAAACGCACCTGGAAATCATTACCAAGTTGATAAGCACCAATCCCATAATTATAAGTCAATTCAACAACAAAATGATTATCCTCAGGTCCATAACCTATCATGGTTTTGCTCCACTTCCCATCATATGGTCTAAATGAATGATATGAATCAATATTGATTAAGGTTAATTACCCGTTACATGAAGCTTTACAACCTTCAGTAAATTCTTCATGTCGTAACACCTGTGAAGTGATCAAGCAACAAGTAAATAAGAAACAAATAATGATCAAGTTATGAAAAAATATTTCAGCCATCATACCATATAGAATAACCTCAACTCTTAGATCCATTTACCTATGGATCCAAAATGAAATTAAAGAACTAATAAGACCCAATTTGTAGTCGTAATTCTTTACCGGCTAGACTATAACATCTAATAGTCAAGTACCTAGTTTTTCAGCCGGTTTCGATTAATGACAGTTATGTCAGGAAAAGAGGGTTGTTTTGCTAATTGACAAACTTAATATCATCCTTGTTTTAAATAAAAACAAGTATAACTACAGTACGGGAATTATTTTCAAGATAATTCTTAAGGCTTCGTAGATCACTAGTCGCGACAACCATTGTTTGATAAATCCCGACTGTATATACATTTCAGAAGACAATGCGAAGCATCGACTATATTTTATCACTGTACAGCTCATATCCTAAAGCCACAGTCACACAAAGTGAGTGCGAGCAGGAATGCGAATGAAAGTGAATGCGAACTAGGGGCGAGCGAATTGATAAGATTTTAGAAGCACATATATATAGGAAAGCGAATGAGTCATCGAGAGATTTAAGCAACTGTAGTGAACGAGAACTGAAGTGGGGAAAACCAAATGTATTTTAACACAATATTACAGAATATCTTGGTAAAACCTGAGAACCATACAGTAAAACCTCATTTGCAAAATACTCGTCAATTGTCTCTGACTTGGTTGTTTGGTTGTTTCGATACCAAATTCTCTCTTCGCTTCGATTTTCTCAACCTTCTGTCGTCAGTCATTCCACTTTCGATAAATGATATATACTACTTATATCTATCGACATTAATAGCACATACGGCACAACCAACACTTAGACTAGCCAGAAGGATGTGGGTAGACTGTAACACGTGATCAAACCAATAATAAGCGTCTGAATATAGGAAAATATACTTCCTAGTTGATATCGTATTGGCTTAGGCGCTCAAATTCTGGTCACTGTCCGCGTTTCGTACTCACTTCAACCACAAAATAGTCACACAAATTTTAGTTACATTTCATTAGCTACTTTGACAAGAGAAGCCGTCAAATTACAATCAACCGTTATTTTTCATACTTTTTATTTAGTATGAACATTTCATTAGATTTATTCTCTCTAAGAGTAAATATATAATTGGATCAATATAGTTAGTATTTATTATGGTAATTCAGTTCCAATCTACGTGTTATTCACTAGTGATCAAATCATACAGTATTCAATTTTATGCAGCCTTTAAACGAATACGGATTACATGAATACTATATTTATCAATTATAAATATCTCAATATGGCTTTTGTTACATCGACCTTAATTCTAATCAAAAGTTATTTTTAATTCTTCTCTAATGAAGAACATATTCGCCAAAACATTTTCGGGTGTGTGAAAAATAAAAAAGCTTTGTTGAATGAAGTATGGCATTTCATCAAACCCTAATTCTTAGAAGTTAAGCAATATATACAGTTCTAACCGAAAACACAGCTATATTTTACTTTGGGCGCTCCTAGTGAATTATGAAAACAACCCTTTACTAGCCAGCATTGTGCGTCAATAAATAGAATAGTTACATACAACTCCTATCCTAGACAACCTAGTCGACGACAAATTAAAGTCTTATCCACTGAATAATGTTCTTTACCTTATACACCACATCTAACTTCATTATTACTCATCTCATGGTTTACCTTAAATGACATGAAAGTCACTGACAATTTCGAAAATGAAGTTCGTTGATAGAGATGAACAAAACTGCTCTACATATGATAATTTTTGCCCTAATAGCCTGAATTTTACACAACTACAGAAAAAATAATTATACCACTAACTAAAATGTTACAAACTTCATGGGGAAACGTATTGTGTTTCCATTTTGAGATTAACAGTTTCAATTGAACTACATTAGAAGAAACCATGCAAGTTTCAGTAGATGACTAATTCTTTTTACTAACTGCAAACCATAAGATACTAAGCTTGTTGATCATTATATTTATGTTCTATGGAGCCTCTTACTTTTATCCAATTTCTGTTATATAAGTAGTAATATAAAGTTAAAAAAGACTGGACAGTTATATTATCTCTATCAATATTTTTTTAAATCCAATATACTAACACTAGGTCACATTTCTAACCGACATTTTGGTTGATATAAGTTTTATCACTATACAAAATATCATCTCTATGGCTTCAATGTAGAATTAATTGAAAAATAGTAGTATTTATGATGTAAAGTTTTACAAAATAGCACATCATCTAGTTGCAGGATACCATCAGCAACAGCCTTCTCTGGAAAAGAACAAACCAACTTCCAGTTGAAGAAGAAACTAGGAAAAGACGATGGAAATGGATAGGACATACATTCCGCAAATTATCAAAGTTCATCACGAGGCAAGCCCTAACTTGGAATCCTGAAGGAAAGCGGAAAAGAGGATGGCCAAAGAACACATTACGTCGGATAATAGAAGCAGATGTATAAAGGATGAATAACAACTGGAAGGAGCTGGAAAGGATTGCCCAGGAAAGGGTTGGATGGAGAATGGTTGTAAGAGGCCTATGCTCCTTCACAAGGAGTGACAGGCGTAAGTAAGTAAGTAAGTAACATTATCTAGTTAACATGAATCCATAGAAATTTTCAAACTCAAAATCACTTAAATATTTTTAAACTAGTGTATTGAAAATATTTGGCCGAAATGATAAAAAACTATTGTGAATAATCGTTTGAGCTAACAAACTCAAAATGCTTAGAAAAACATTTATACATTAAGCTCTTTTGTGTGTGTATTGGAAGAAGTGTAGTCAAGTGAACTTGTGGACTATTGAAAAAAATGTATTATTCAACTAAACATCAATAAAATAAAGCAAAACCAGCTGAAGTTTGCACTGTTATCACTTACATACACGCATATATATATATACACTTGTTTTCATCTAGAGTGCATACATTAACATACCTTCATTCCAAGAATCCGTTTGTAAAAATCAATTGTTTCATTACGATTGGCCACTTTGAAAACAAAGTGTAAAGCCCTTGTATGATTCATAGGAGGTGACAATTCAAAGTCGATCAAAATATCTAATTCCTTGAACTGAAATCCACTGATATTAAAATTATTTAAAATAAAAGTCAAAGATTACAGAGTGGTTATGATTTATATTTTGGATGGAATTAGTAGTAGTACATCATGCAAAACGAGTATAAATAGGAAACGAAAACGCAAATCAACAAATAAATATCAACAACGTTAAGCCTAGCACGAAGATGTAGAGCTACTACTTCATAAGCTTCAGAAACAAAGTGATAAGAAAAGCAAATGTTTAACATGTACTGAGAACAGAGGGATTCCACCGGTAGCCATATTCTGTCTTTTCTTTGTAAATGAGCACAAAAAAATCAGTTGAAACGAACGGAATCAGAGAACAAAATTTATTGAACAATCCCGTATTTAACATTTCAGTAAAAGCAATCAATGACCAGATCTCCTTCACTGAAATTAATTTCATCAATATCACTAACTCTATGGTTGTATATTACAGCTGTATTGAGGACCCTCTTGACACGGCTTATAACAACAGTTAGTAAAACTATAAGCGAAGTCTATGACCTGTCCCAGTTCCCCCTACTTTTCTAGTTTACTTCTATTCTATTCAACATCAGTCAGTCAGTCAGCTACAACGTAGGACCAGGCACATATGTGCATCGGTCCAGGTTGCATTCAACATAGCCTGGGTTGACGAATTTTTAGACTACCTAGTTCGATTAGTATCAGTCAGCTATCACAAACTTATGAACTAAAACAATTGTGAATCCGTCTAATCTCCTCTACCTTACATTAGAACATTGAAAAAAATCAACGAAATGACAGAGAGAGAATGGGAGACAACACCAAAATGTAATGAAACTTTTGATAAAAAGAAAATGACTCGAAAATAAAAATACGACCAAAGAATGAAACTTTGGGAATTTTCCACAACTCCAGATTTGGATGATGGACAGTGGATATAACTGCATCATTGAGAGGTTTTGCGTCATCTTACTCAAAGCCTCCAACCATCCACTACGAGTATTATGTAGGCTCCAAGCTCCTACGTAGACAAAAATTAATAAACGTCCTACTACTTTTACCTAGAACTCTACATCTAAGGTCGAAATCCAGGACATACTGGTTTACCTGTTATGACTTATGGTAGCCTACTGATATCATGTGACAAAGCCAACAATCAGAGTCTAGTTTCTATGATTTAGTGTCCCTGTGTTAACCAATGATACGTCCAACAAGTACTAGTAACCTTGAGTCAATTGCAAGATCTTACTGATCCACGATTCCATAGCTTCTCTTTCTGCCCTGCAGTTTGAATCCAGGAATCAGCAATCAGCCTCCACTAATATTACATTTCAAGCAAGCGTAGTGTATATGCAGGCATGCCCGACCACATAACAATAAAATAGAAAATAACAATTATGTGTGATCAAGCCAAGAAGCAACTGTGAGTAGGGTCGACGGCAACTAGCACACCCATATCAAACTCTAAATTGACGAAAACTAGCACCCTTATAGTTGAATAAATAATACAATAAACGCTCTAATAAAAAACGCTGTGACGTCAAAAATCACATCAAGATACATGAATAAATAGTTATTGAGAGGGAAGAGGGATAAACATTATTACTTTGACAGTATAAAAGTAAGTGGTAAATGTAGTATTGTATAAATTATTTCCAGCTAGAAGTTAAAGAATGTTAACGAATAAATCACATAGGTGAACTTTAAAGAAACGTTACTCTGAGGTTCTAAGAACTGGTCCGAAGACAGATTCGGTTTACTAAGTTACGTGATTTTATAGCATAAAATATTTATCCTCTGGGAAACTTGGCACGAAGATATATATAAAAAGACCATAGCTGGATGTCGTACCATTTTCGAAAGACAGTTGGTATATGTTAGTCTTAATTGCTCAAAACGATTTTTTCATACATTACACTACAGTTGCACGAAAATTCAGATATATCGGCTAAATCAGATCTGGCCAAAGCTGAGACCTTATCAAACTATTTCAGAGAAGCTTAAACTAACGTCATATCGTATCTAACTACCGAGCTGTCAGTCTGACCAGCATAGTAGTTAATATACTTGAAAAGGCAATTCAAGTTAAGTTATTAAGTTACATGGAACCATTCAATTTGTTGACTCCCGAGCAACACGGGTTTCAAAACAAGAATTCACGCTCAACCAACTTAAATATTGCGAGCAAGGTTTGGACATAAGCCCTAACTAATTGCATGTCTGTCGATGTGACATTTACGGACATTAGCAAAGTATTAGAAAAGCTTTCTCATCTAGGTCTAGTAAAGAAACTCTCGAGCTTCAGAATAGCAGGTGCTGTACAAGAGTGGATAAACAACTTCTTATAGGGCTGAAGACAAGGGTGAGGGTAAATCGGACACTGTGTAAATGGAAGCCCGTTAAAAGTGGCACTATCTTTGGTCCCCTACTTTTCATTCTCTACATCAATAAATTACTCTCGATTGCTTAATTTATCAACATTGTTATTTGCGGATGATGTCAAAATCTGGAAGACAATTAAGAATAAGGCTGGTTATTTTTCTCCCGAAGCTAACCTAGACTAACTAGTTAGGTGGTCCAAATGGTAGGGCCTAGAAACCAATTCAAGAAAGAGTGGGCTCATGCTCATTGGACACGAAAGTAGTAACCAGTATAATGACGGCACATCTCTTCCATGCGTGTAGGACCTCAAAGACTTATGGGTAATGGTAATTCATGACTTGTAAACAACTATGCATTGCAATGCAACAGCTGCCAAAGGTTTTGGTGTGTTATGGGATCAAAATTGTGGAAGGGTCTGTCCAAACTCTCTTAAGGGGAGTGCTTAAAACGTCTAAAATTTTTCTTTTTATCGTTTTGTAGAACGTCAGGTGGCGTTTAATTACAACTCCAATGTTAATATTTCTTATCTGTTTGCTCCATCCAGCACTAATAATCTTCGACAACATAACAAGAAGGTTCAAAACCCGTGATCTAATAAACGCAGAGTAGGATTCCGTTCTTCTCATTGTGTGGTCACTTACTCAAATGCCTTACCCAAACTAGTGATATTAGCCCCATCAATGAACGTCTTTAAAGAAAGGCTGAAACTTCATTAAAAGACAAACTGTAAGCATCAACACAGATCCACTAACCAAATAAAACTATTACTGAAGACTGAAAATAGAGCTAGACCGAAGCCAACAACTGCTATACGGCAATTGAAACAGCCGTGAAACATGACCTATGAGACTGAAAAAACCACGTTCCTGCAGATTCCGTAAAATATTTCATCTTAATATCTCAAGTAATGCACTGTTCGTACGTCCTAAACTTGAGTACTGCATACAAGCGGCTAGCCCCTACTTAAAAAAGACAGTCAGCTTTTGGAATAGGTTCAGAGTACAGTAACTAAGCTGATTCCCGGAATAGCAAAGCTTCTGTATGATGCTTCACTGGCCAAACTAAAACTATTCCCGTTGTCATATCGTAGAACTAGAGGCGATTTGATCACAATTTTCAAATTGCTTAGTGATAAATTTGCACCTGCTATGCCTTCATTTCCCTTGTCTCCCAAAACAGATAATTTACGAGGACACTCCAAAAACGTTCACAAGCCCAGAACAAATTACTTGTCAGCTGACTATCGACTTTCCCATCGAATCATCAACGAGTGGAATTCACTAACTCAGCATGAGGTTGAGATTCTATCTGTCGACTCTTTCAAAAGAAATTTGGATCGACTGAGAGACTATCATTTTCAGGACTGACACAGACCATCAAGTCTCTTGTTTTTTCCAAACTGAAACTGAAAAAAACTCCAAAATTGAGGGTTTATGAAGAAATATGAATAACTATGGTACTTTGTTCCAAATCACGAACTATCCGTAAATAGAGACGTGAACACGCATGCTTTTTATCAGTCGTGAAGCCATTTGTTGTTAATGAAATATATCAATTTCCATTCTAACAAAAGGCGCCTGATAACACATGTTATATAACACATATGCCCATATGGACATATGACCTCAAGAGCCTGTCGCTAACTATATGTAAACAAGCAAGATATCGATTTCATTTTTTTCATCTGAATTTCAAACTTTTTCACCAGGTATAGGAAAATGACTCTTCCTTTTTTATTTGTATCTAGATTGTAGGGAATACTTGTCAGACACAAAAAAGTATATGGATATTGCGTAATACCACAATAAACAGTAAAAACGAAAGAATTTACGGATTGAAACAAGAATGATTGGTGAGAAGCCAGTGGATGGGTTAAATTAAGTGACTAACCAGTTACCTCACAAGCAGTAACCACTTTCCGCGCAGACTGTTGTCCTTGGGTGACGCTGAAAAGTACCTTCAAACATTTAATCAGCAGTAGTTCGGACAAGAACCCAAGTTATCAATCCTCACGTATGAGGACAGTAGGTTGATGGATCTATATTTTTCCCTTAACCTTAATTACTTATGAAAAGTACGCTTATCTTTGAAAGTGTTCATTGATAGGATTCAAATGGTTCAAATGGTTCAAATGGTTGTGAACGGAATAGAAGAAGCTTTCGCTTAACAGGCTTCCGTGTCTAGTAGCAGGGGATCACCAAATCCGCCAGGCAAGAACCTAGGTATGTTAACAATAAAACAGTGATGATGTCACAGGTATTCAGTGCTTGACAACGCTTTTGCCAGTAACACCTTCTAATATAACTCGTACCCACCAAGAGAAATCAAAAGACCGAGTCGAGGAGATTGGAAGAGTATATTTGGCGATGACCAATATATCTGAATTCTCTGATCTAATCTGGCTAGCGATTGCGGTTGATGTTGAGTACGGCGTTCCCACACGTGATCTGGTGCAGATGCCTGACCGAGCGCCTTCAGCTAGATGAGTCCACTAAAACATATGGTCAGCATCCAATGTCGAAAACTTAGTGCTATTTATTTTGGGGATTTATTTACCGCTACAGATCACTCCCCCCCTAGTGGGGCAGTGACGACCCTAAGACGTGGCCAGCCAGAAGTTTAAACCCAACGAGTTTGTCGTTGGTAAACACTCTTCTGATAGCTTACTAAATTTAGCAGCGTCTGGTCGTCTTTCCTTACTATATGAGACGGAGGTACAACATAGTAAAGAAAGAAAATGTACAATGAAAATTTCGGATCCTCATAAACGTCATCGTTCTTTTCCAGCCGTCCTGGAAAAGAAAAAAGAAAATGTAAGTGCAAGTCGAAATACACTCGTATGTGCGTAAAAGCACAATGTCGGCGGAAAAAAATGGAAAATAAACTCATGAACACGTAATAGCGTTAAAAAAATTGTTTTTTTTGTTTTATTTTTTTTTAAATAGAAATAAAAATACATAAGCATGTTAAAATTGTTTTTTTTTTAAAAAAAAAAATAATATAAAATTTCTAGAAGTGCCTTACGTGCAATAGTCGTTTAAATGTTCTGGAAATCTCACTCTTCTTCCAGAACGCGTCGTTTTAAGTTTATTTTCGGATACTGTCGAAGTATCGTCGTGTGTGTTGGTTGTCGAATGAGGTATTATAAGTGTCGGAGTCGTGTCGTTCGATTGTACCGAAGGAAAATCCACGTAGATAGGATTTCCTTCTAAATACGCTGCTTTTAAGCGATCGATACTGATGCTATCGTTGGTTCCGTTCTTATCGACTATATAGTACTTAGGTTCACGTTGAAGAACTTTGAAGGGTCCTTCGTATGCGGATTCGAATGGTCGTCGATGCGAGTCTCGACGAACGAAAACGTGTGTACTATGTCGTAAGTCAGGTTGAACGAAAACATCAGTTGATTGAGGTCGAGTGGAAGCAGGTTTAACTGAACGCATTGCGTTTGTAAGCCTGTTCGTGTAGGAGGTTAGATCCATGTTCATTGAAGAGGATGAAGGATCCACGAATTCTCCTGGAAGTCGAAGTGTCGTACCATAAACGAGTTGAGACGCAGTGTATCCAATGTCAGCTTTCACTGCATTGCGGATACCTAGTAAGACGAGTGGGAGAGCGTCGGTCCACTGTGAAACGTTTGCAGCTGATAGCGAAGCTTTCAGTTGTCGGTGAAAACGTTCTACCAACCCGTTTGCTTGTGGATGGTAGGCGGTCGTTCGGAAGCGAGTGCTTCCTAAAAGAGTGGTCAGACGACGGAAAAGATCAGATTCAAATTGACGTCCGCGGTCTGTAGTGATGGTTGAAGGGCAGCCGAAGTTTGCTACCCATCGTTCGACGAAGGTGCGGGCCACTGTTTCAGCAGTGATGTCCTTGATAGGTACTGCTTCTGGCCATCGAGTGAAACGGTCAACGCAGGTTAAGAGATAAGAGTATCCATTTGAATCTGGTAAAGGTCCTACCAAATCCAAATGAACATGGTCGAAACGAGCATCGGGAGTTTTAAACGAGCCTAAGGGACATTTATTGTGTCTTATAACCTTAGATTTTTGGCAGCTTACACAGGAGCGTGCCCACTCCCTCACGTCTTTATTCATTCCAGGCCAGCAAAACCTTTCTGCTATGAGCTTGATGGTTGCACGAACACCTGGATGCGAAAGTTTGTGCAATGTGTTGAAGACATTGCGTCGATAATGTTTCGGCACGATTGGGCGATCCCTACCTGTAGATGTGTCACAAAGTAAGGTTTCCTTACCTGTTCCCATCTGTTTGATGCGTAGTTTAAGTGTTGTGGACGATAACTCGTGCTGAAGATCACTGTCTTCTTTTTGAAGCTCGGCGAGTTTAAGAAGGTCGATTCCTTGGAAACTGTTCAAGGAAGTTATACGAGATAAAGCGTCTGCAACTACATTGTTTGCTCCAGAGACGTGTTGAATATCTGAAGTAAACTGCGAAATGTAGTCCAGTTGTCGAGACTCACGGGGAGAGTACTTGTCAGAAGGAGAGCTTAACGAGAAGGTAAGCGGTTTATGATCCGTGAAAAGAGTGAATTCACGACCTTCGATGTAGTGTTGGAAATGCCGTACAGCACAATACATAGCTAGGAGTTCCCTACCGAATGTGCTGTACCTCGATTCGGTGTCTAGCAACCTTCTAGAGAAAAATGCCAAGGGTTGCCAGGAGTTGTTAACCCATTGTTGTAAGACTCCTCCGATTGCTGAGTCGGATGCGTCTACTGCGATGCTAATGGGTGCTCGGGTGTCCTGATGTGCAAGCATTGTTGCTTTAGCAATCAGTTCCTTAACTGTGGAGAATGCTTTTCGTGCGGTGTCGTCCAAATTAATGGATTTCGCATTTCCACGAAGTTGGTCGGTCAGAGGTTTCATAAGTAATGCGCATTTGGGTATGAAACGTCTATAGAAACTTACCAGGCCGTTAAACGTGCGCAATTGCTTGACGGTGGTCGGTTCTGGGTAATCCAGAATGGCCGCCACTTTGGTCCTAAGAGGTCGAATGCCTTGAGCATCGATAGTGTGTCCTAGGAAGTCTAACGAGTCGGTTCCGAATTGGCATTTCTGAACGTTTACAGTTATGCCATGTTTTTGAAGTCGTTCGAATACAAGATCCAGATGCTTGAGATGTGTTTCTCTGTCCGGACTTGCGATTAGACAGTCGTCAACGTACGCGTGTACGAAATTGAGACCTCGAAAAACGTCGTCTATGAATCTTTGGAATGTTTGAGCAGCATTCCTTAGACCGAAAGGCATTCGCAAAAATTCATAGAGTCCGAAGGGAGTTATGATAGCCGTTTTCGGTATGTCGTCAGTAGCCATAGGGATTTGGTTATACGCTTTAACCAAGTCGATTTTCGAAAAGACAGTTGTACCTTTCAAGGTAGCTGTCAAATCGTGAATGTGAGGCAACGGGTAACGATCGGGAATGGTTTTCGCGTTCAATCGCCGATAGTCACCAGTTGGACGCCAATCGTTGCTGTCCTTTTTAGGGACCATGTGCAACGGAGATGCATATGGACTACTTGACGGTCGTATGATTCCTAAGTCCATCATGTGATCGAATTCGTTTTTCGCTAACCTTAGCTTTTCAGGAGCTAGTCGGCGTGCTTTAGAAAATACAGGTGGTCCTGTAGTCGCGATGTGATGTGTAACATTGCTGGTTACACACGGTAGTTTCGTTTGAGTTTGTTGTATCTCAGGGTACTTATCGAGTAGTGGTTGATAGAGTGGGTCTATCATATGTTTAACTGTGACTGGGGATACTCTACAACCAGTAAAAGAAGTTACGCAAACGGACAAATTAGTGTTACCGTCTACTAGCCTCCGTTTGCGCGTGTCGATGATCAGATTGTGGTGTTGTAGAAGATCTGTAGTGGCATTGGACAATAGCCACACAATCCACAAAGCTGTGAACACGAGACTACTCAGAAAATAGATATTCAATATTTAACGCGGAGAAATACCTAACAATGGAGAAGGCGCGAAGAATGAATTGAATTGACTGGAGTTGATCGAGTGGCATGGCTCGGCCATGCAGGCGTGGTCTCTATTCATATTAAATATATTGTTCCTTCTCTAAACTAAGCTGGTTCTTCATCATGTATTGGTAATTGATACGATACAGTGAGTTGGCGTAGTCGATGGTGTGACTTCCACGTAAGATCTTAAAGATTAGGCAGTTATATCATGACGAATCTACAAATTTAGGATTAGGTCTATTATTAGAGCAGTACTAATATCGTAGTAGACCATAGTTCTACATTGGTAAGCCCGACTAGAAAAACGCAACCTATTATTATTAATCCTTATTTCCACTTCAACTTTCTCGATCGATTTTATATTTATGTTAACACTGTATTCTAATAGTCCTCTGATTAATGCTCACATGCATTATCGTAATGTTATATTGATTAGTCCTCATGACAAACTAGCTCAATCGATAATAAAAACTGGTCGTCTATATTAACTAATTAGCTTTGATGATTTGTTAACAAGCTGTAATAGCATTTACATGCTTCAGCGACATAGTCTTGTTTAAACATCAAGCTCTAGCAAATATGACCTGTAAATAGCGTAAATATACATTGACTAACAATGCGATCAAGGACTTAATAGTTATCTGGATCTAATATTCAGTGTTCCTTATCTTATTACCTCATCCTGTTTTAAACTATACACTATCCTGTAATATCTTTTCTTCCGACCACTGCCTGCCTAATTTCATATTCTCGAGTTCCATTGCCAAACAACGAGGATGACTACTCCAAAAACATACGGTGAGTTCCAGCTATAAGTTTTCTGCAATCATAAGTTCATTTTAGATGGCTCATTCAATGGCACACACAATTATCTGGATTCATTCAGTTGTTCTGATCAGAGCGAGTCCCAAAAACGTCAACAGCATCAAGCACCCTGGAATTAATTGCCATACTGCATGTTTTATTCTGGATACTTATGGATCATCACTACTCCTCACGAATGGCGTTATATATGTCGTCCACTGAATAATCTAATTTTCAAAAATAATCCAGGCGAGTTCAACTATTTTACTGGATGATTTTTTTTACTTAACATGTATATGTTTTCCAGTTCCTTTTGCCATATATTTGTAAGTGTCCCTAGGCTAAATGCAGTAACTTCTTATGGAATGTTT